GAGGTGTTATTGTTTAAAGTTACCAATTATTACAAATACCCTTACTCAAACTTTCATGTATCTTTGGGTTGTTTTTTTTAAGCCCAGGGCTTAAACCTGAGGAAAAATGTCACTCAATAAGAAAGGGTAAACACTTTTTAAGCCCAGGGCTTAAATACATGCATTATTGGTACATGATTCAATGATACAAGGACATGATTCAGTGGTACAAGGATGCATGCATGTGCTCAGTACAAAGCTACAAGGTATGATTCTGTGATTTACACGATTCAGTGGTACAAGTGCATGATGGAGAATGGCTAGACTGCTGTTTGAGCAAGGATTGTCTAACATGAGGAAGACTAGCGGGCTGAACACTATAGGAATATACAGCATTGGCCATTACACACTATAGGAATATACAGTGTTTGGCATTACACACTATAGGAATATACAGTGTTGGGCATTATAAAGGAATATACACTGTGTTAGGCATTACAAAGGAATATACACTGGTGACCATTACACACTTAAGAAATATACACTGTGTCGGCCATAATGTCAAATAACAGGGTCAACAACAAACTCAAGACACATAAAACTGTTTCGTTAACATCATCTCAAACTTGACATTTTTATGCATCAAAATGACATCAGCATTATGACAAGTGATAAACACCTAAATTTCCACAGGGTATGCTAGAATTCAGTCCTGAATCTCAACAGGGTATGCTGGAATTCAGTCCTGAATCTCAACAGGGTATGCTAGAATTCAGTCCTGAATCTCAACAGGGTATGCTAGAATTCAGTCCTGAATCTCAACAGGGTATGCTAGAATTCAGTCCTGAATCTCAACAGGGTATGCTAGAATTCAGTCCTGAATCTCAACAGGGTATGCTGGAATTCAGTCCTGAATCTCAACAGGGTATGCTAGAATTCAGCCCTGAATCTCAACAGGGTATGCTGGAATTCAGTCCTGAATCTCAACAGGGTATGCTAGAATTCAGTCCTGAGCAATACAAGATATTTGAATGGACTACAAGATGTTGTCTTACTACAATGGGGGACATGTTGTAGACGTGGATGTTCACAACCGTATGCTTTTATCCTTGCTGCCGCGCCACAAACTGTGGTTGAGAAATTATGTGTTACATTATTGATTCAATCTACTCCACTTTGGAAAGACAACAACACCCGATACCATTGGTCAATCACGGTCAACTAACCAATGAAATGATTGACCACAACCACAAGAAGACTGGCATCAAAACTACAACAGGGTCAACCAGATCTGGGTTGGTCAGTAAATACAATTTCCTCCTTACAAGATTCCTCATCCGAGATTACGCAATCATTTCAAAACTATATGCACCTTCTCAACCAAATTTAGCCCAAAACACAAGTTTTACATATTGAAAAAACAAATACACACACACATATCCTACACCATTATTCATCAATGTCACCAGAGCTTAAAATGGATCTCATGGCCTTAACACTATTCATAAAACATTTCATAGATATACACATCAAATTCACATTTCTGAAACCCTTTTTCGTCATCAAGAATACAATTATCAAATTGATGAGACTATACACACATACATATTGTCTCTGAGGGAATTGATGATAAATGGAGTTATCAAGAAGGGAAGTTACTGTTTGGTAAACTTGGTACAGTACACCAAGCTTCTGGACAATTTCATCCTCTGTAACTAAACCAGATCATGTTTAATTATTGTTTTTGGAAATACAGCACCAAAATGTAACAGCTACTGTAATATTCATGACATTTGTTGTGAATACAAATATGGTGCATGATTCTCATAGTGTACATTCAGACAGCAACGCTTACACTTCCGGTTGACCATACTCTACACGCTGCAGCATAATAATAACATTCAAACAGAAGTTACGAAGCGAGAATTTAATGACATGGCAAAATGATGACCATGTTTTGGTAACTGATACCAAAATGATACAACTTTTCAAAAAATAACAAAATATAATCGTTTCAATGCAAAAACAACATTAATGCAAATTTCTCTCAATAAGAATAAACAATACAAAATATTCAAACAAAATGACACAACTGTATAAATACATTATCTGTTGATGATCAAACATTTCTCAATGAAAACATTCAGACATTTTGTTTATCTGCTTTAAACAAATGAAAACTGATAGCCTTGAAACTTTGCCAAAATACTGACATCATACTATTTTGATTTTTCAGGGATACACATATACGCAGTGTATACACTTGCCATCTGCATATAATCTACTCGTGTCTACATATGCTGATAATATTGCCTTACAAACATATGGCCACCTGTATCAATCCACAACAGACTGACCACAGCATTTTACACAGTAAACTAGACAACCTCAAATGACAGCAGTTATTTTTAATAACAGAAGAAGAAAGATCTGACATTCAAATGGCACTCTTTTTGAAACAAAGGAAAATAAATGTTTGACTCACCATTTGTTCAAATGAAGTTGCATGAGAAGCAATTGCTGTTATATTTCAGTGTTACATTGCAATCTCACCTTTCACAACACATAGATCTGACAGGTACAGGCAGAACATGGCAGCTCATGGTTCTAACTCACCCCACACAGCACACAGCACACAGCTCACATAGGTAGGGGGGAACACAGTTCTAACTCACCCCACACAGCACACAGCTCACATAGGTACAGGGGAACATGGTTCTAACTCACCCCACACAGCATACAGCTCACATAGGTAGGGGGGAACATGGTTTTAACTCACCCCACACAGCACACAGCTCACATAGGTAGGGGGGAACATGGTTCTAACTCACCCCACACAGCACACAGCTCACATAGGTACGGGGGAACATAGTTCTAACTCACCCCACACAGCACACAGCACACAGCTCACATAGGTACGGGGGAACATGGTTCTAACTCACCCCACAAAGCACACAGCTCACATAGGTACAGGGGAACATGGCAGCTCATGGTTCTAACTCACCCCACACAGCACACAGCTCACATAGGTACGGGGGAACATGGTTCTAACTCACCCCACAAAGCACACAGCTCACATAGGTACGGGGGAACATAGTTCTAACTCACCCCACACAGCACAGAGCTCACATAGGTACGGGGGAACATGGTTCTAACTCACCCCACAAAGCACACAGCTCACATAGGTACGGGGGAACATGGTTCTAACTCACCCCACAAAGCACAGAGCTCACATAGGTATGGGGGAACATAGTTCTAACTCACCCCACACAGCATACAGCTCACATAGGTACGGGGGAACATGGTTCTAACTCACCCCACACAGCACACATAGGTACGGGGGAACATGGTTCTAACTCACCCCACACAGCACAGAGCTCACATAGGTACGGGGGAACATGGTTCTAACTCACCCCACACAGCACACAGCTCACATAGGTACGGGGGAACATGGTTCTAACTCACCCCACACAGCACACAGCACACAGCACACAGCACACAGCTCACATAGGGACAGGCAGAACATGGCAGCTTCTGGCACTAACTGATAAATACTGTGCAAAGAAATGGTACGAGCAAAATATTCTAAACACACTACTTAAAAGAAGTTACGGAACACCTGATTTAGTCAAATTAAAAAATCGGATGTACTTTAATTCTCTTGAATACCATAGTATATCTTCTTTACAGCATTTGGCACTGCATGGACACTGAAAGCAGAGAATTCTTGCTATTTTAGAAAAATCTCATCTAATACTTGAACCTGTCATGGACATGTACTCCTTTACATTCTACAGTGTCTATACTGACTACTACTGAGCATTGAATGAATATCTACCACAACCAGCCCTTTATGAAGGGCTTGCAGCTACTGGCAACTTGATGAAGTGAACTTACAACACAGCTCAATGTAACTGAATATATAACTTTCATTAAAAAAAACAATAAATCATAATAAACTGTAAACTTGTGACACCAGTTTTTGATTATTATTCTAGAATATTTGTAACTGTATATAAATCATTAAGCACCTGAAAAACCTGAGCTTAATGTATACTTATATTCACTTTGGTATTCATCAATGAAAAATATTTTCAAATAAAATGTTATGGCGATGTCGTATCAGATTTATCATGAACCATATAGAAGTAAATGAAATGCAATCTAAGAGGGCGAGATGTATCACATATAGTTCCAAAGCTACAAACAATACTTGTGACAGCAAAACTATGACAAAACATGAGGCAAAACATGGCTTTACAAAAATATGTTACGGAACATCAAAAACAGCAAATAACACAACCTTGAACACCACAAATCTCCATATTCACACAGGCCATTCAAATCAGTTCAGCAGACTCAGTGTCTGGATTATGTATTGTCACGACCTGCACAAGGCTACGATTTATAGGATGGCAGATGCTACACAGAGGTGGTGGTCAGATTACAGAAGGCTAGCCTCTACTGCATCAATCCGAGGAAATGTTCAGGATGTGCAACGACAGACAATCTGTGTAAATGACTCTTTTCTAACCTGACAGCTCAGTTGGAATTGTATTTTGTTTCAATGCATGATATTTTCACATAATGCAGAGAATGAATTGAAACATTTGATCAAACTGATAAATATGTTTCAAAGACTTGAAAATCTGATCATCTGTTTTACCTAAACTGAGAGTGCAAGCAAATATCATCTCTGCATATATACTACTTAAAATAAGTTAAAGAACACCTGATTTTTCATATAACTATAGTTAATCTGTCATACCATAACGGATTACGGTATTAAACGTAATAAGCGCCCCGCTCTAATAAGCGCCCACGGCAATATTTGCTAATACATTGGCAATTGAACAATCCTAATTAGCCCTCCTTCCGATTTATCAATGTACACAAGACTTATTTATTCGTGTATATTACGCACTCGTGTGTTATATGCACCCTTAATTATGGGCAATTAAATTCTGGAAAAATGCATCTGTCGTATATAAATAGTTCAGACTGTCAGCATAAACCACAAAATTTATCTTTCAACTCTGTTTTTTCCACCAAAGTAATATTCTAATAAAAGCCCCCTATTTCTAATTTTGAGAGCGCTTATTACATCGAATACGATAACTATAGTCATATGAAAAAAACATCAAGTTTTCTTATCTTCTTTTGAGTCGTAAATGCTAGATCCTTCAAAATACATCACACTGACATAAAAATGTTTTCCTGAAAGACAGTTATATCTGTAGCAACCCAGTCAAAGACAAAATTGTTCAGCAAGGCCACACTGATCTACATCTCCATCAGCGGGTTGATATAAACATGAAAACACAATGGTAGTGACTTAAACACTGGAACTCTCTGCCACATTAACTTAATACTAGTATTGGGGGAAAGAGTATATTGGTGGTTTATCACATCCCAAAGGAACAGAGCAAAGTCCTGCTGGGAAACAATGGAGTGTCATCCCAATACTTGCTTCTCATGAATACTAGGCATGTTTGCAGGTGCACCACAGACTCAAGGCTGACTAACAACTAACTAATACTGTAGACTCACACAGACCAACAGGGATATTATACATGGTAGCAGCATCGACAAGGAGATCTCAACTGGGGAGGTAGTCCAACTGTGTACATCCAACATACTTTCAAACATGGGCAAACAGACCTTTGAAGACTCACATATTTACAAATGCCTGTCCTTATACAGAGGAACCTCATTAATCCGGACTACTGTTTCCAGTGAATTTGTCTGTTTCTGGATTAACAAACCATGGTAAGGAATAATGTGCTTTGTTTTTGACGTCTCGAACACTATCCCTGGTAAGAATACAGGTCCCCAGCAACCCATGCTTGTCGTAAGAGGTGACTAAACGGAACGGGTGGTCAGGCTTGGTGACTTGGTTGATTGTATGTCATCAGGTCTCTATTGTGTGGGTCAAGGCTCATGATGATAATCACTGGATTTCCTACAGTAGTCGTCCAAAATGAGGGGTTTCTAGAATAACAGGGTCCAGGCTAACGAGGTTTCACTGTCTATGGTGGCCACCAAGATGCGAGGTCTACATGCAGGAAGGAAAGGAACATGTATTGAGTGATGTGTAGTGCACCATATTAAGGGTGATGTAACAACGTATATCTCACACTGTGGGTATATTTACTAGCCCTGACTGGGGAGCTATTCTGTTACGTATTCTGATACGTCATCCCACATATCTCATGACTGCACTGACACTGATGTTGACTTACAAATCGGACATTCTTCACCGAGTGTAATGTACACTACAAAGCACCATGGTAAACACACAGCCCTATATTGTGTGGAACATTAAGAGGTCAAAAGCTTCTAAATTCACATTACAAGGAATCTGCAAAAAAGTCATGAGATACCAGCAATATCACAGCAGGAAACACCAGAAATGGGCTTCACACATTGTACCCATGTCGGGAATCAAACCCAGGTCTTCCGCTGACAAGCAAACGCTTTAACCACTAGGCTAATCGACCTCCCCCTCAATCCTTTGATGAACAGGTGCTGGGGACTGAACACACTATATATTACAAGTCGTGTGCACCAAGGTAACGAGATACCCCTAGCTACTCACAAACATTCGGTGCTTCATACTTCACACCCCTATCATGAAATGACAATTGATCAGATAGGGGCCAGCTCGTTGCTAGGCATGATGTCAGGGGTCAGAAACTATCTTACTAACATCATAGAATATCCCTACCAAATAAAGCCAGATAATCTTTATTATGTGAATCAGTGGAAGTTGTCCTATGAGGAATCTGATTACAAAGCATCTGTGCCAAGAGAGACTAGATACCCTCGATTATGTGAAACAGCAGCTGTTCTTCGAGGATTCACATTACAAGGCATATGTACCACGAGAGACCACCCTTCATAATGTGAAACACCAGGTGTTCTGAAAGGCTTCACATTACAAGGCATCAGCATTGGGAGGCAGTTTGACCCCCATGCTGTGTAGAATGTTGGAGGCTGGGCCTGGCAGCCCCTGCTGGGCAGTGTAGGACTCCAGAGTGTTCTTGACCACATTCAGATTGATGTTTACAGGCACAAAACCATCATCTTCATCATCAATATCTCGCTTGTACTTCCTTGGACTAGATGTCGGGGTGTTGTTAGGCCTTGGTGGTGGGCGCTGCGGAGGTCGCTGTGAAGGTCGTGGTGGAGGTGAAGGTCGAGCTGGGGGTGAAGGTCGGGAAGAATGTGGAGGTGAAGGGCGCGGTGGTGGTGGTTGTTTTGGACGTTGTGGTTTGGGTTTGGTATTTCCATTCTGAAAGTTCACAGAATACAATATTAGATGGAATTACGTTATCTCAACAAGACAAACCAGAAGTCCATTGTCAGTTTCATGTTGCATTATCATTCTGGACCTTTGACCTCTTTCATATTGAAGGTTTCACTGTATGATATAGTTGACTTGTGTTTACATAAGACTGTTCAAAAATATATCATTATCTTTATCCATCAATGTGTGACCAGTTGGTTGAGTAATTGAATGCTGTTTTACACCACAGTCAGCAATATTCTAGCTCATCACATAAATAGCCATCAGCCAAATGAAACAAAAGGTTAGGCTAGAACTGAAACCCATGGGGTGGAATGCATTGAGTATTGAGGACTGTTTCTACCCTGAAATCCCCATAGGGAGAAATGTATTGACTATTTGGGACCTATTCTACTCTGAAATCTCCATGGAGAGGAATGCATTGAGTATTGAGGACTGTTTCTACCCTGAAATCCCCATAGGGAGAAATGTATTGACTATTTGGGACCTATTCTACTCTGAAATCCCCATAGGGAGGAATGCATTGAGTATTGAGGACCTATTCTACCCTGAAATCCCCATGGAGAGGAATACATTAAGTATTGAGGACCTATTCTACCCTGAAATCCCCATGAAGAGGAATGCATCGAGTCTTGGGTAACCTGTTCTGGGTTACTGTTTGAGATGAAGGGTTCAGTCTGACCACACCTACCTGTTTGACTGTTTCCCTCTCGAAGCTCTTCCCCACGTTGGTCTGAGCCAGCTCCCGGTCCATCATGTCCATCACGTTCTGTATCTTAGGATCTGGCCGAGGAGCAGCTTTCTTGGGGGACTTCCTAGTATGGGGCCTCTTGGAAGGAGAGTGTTTAGGCGGCGACTCAAAGTCATCATCACTGTCATCCCAGTCATATTCCTCAAATTCATCGGAGCTGGATGCATCGTCCTCATCATTGAATTCTGGGTACAATATGAGTGATGATAATGAACATATTAGCATATTGAGTGTGAAGGTCATCACGCAAAAGATACAGGTAGCAAAATACAAGAAACATTGTGTTGGGAATTGAAACAGTTTTTGTATTTCAAGGCTGTTTTACCAAGTTTGAATTACCGGGTTTGGGTTTGTGCCAGACTTTTCACCAAGTTTCCGTTTCTTGGTTTTGGTTTGTGCCGTTTAGGATTTTGGCCACTATTTTGGAAACCATGTTTTGTTTGGAAGTTGATAGCTGTGGTTATCGACAAACTTTGACTTTTATGGGGATTTGAGGCACCAAAATTTTGTTAGTATGAACAGAGAATGCTTTGTTTGTACCCAATACATATTATTCTGCAGTTTACATGTTGTAAAAAGGTAACTTAAACATATATGGTTTTTCCAGCAAGGATATGACTCAAACTAACAATCAGCAATCCTAGTACTGCCAAGGGAGGCAACTGTGCATAGTAAATTCCATTGTAACTTGGCCACTAATGCCACCATTAAAACATTGATTTCATCAAGACACAGTAAACATTAATCATGTACAGAATGAGAGGCATTTTACTGATGAAGGTAGTGCCCAACTTTCAGTATTGAGTCTGAGTGAGTGATTGAGTATGGTTTTGTTCCTCTTTTAGCAATATCACAGCATTATCGTGGCAGGGGACAACAAACAATTAAATGGGCATCTAACATTGTACCCATGTGGGGAATCAAACTTTGGTTTTCGTCCTGACAAACCTAGTAAAAACTAGATTTTGTTTTTAAATTCGTACACTTATCCTGCATTACTGCTTAATGCATCTACTGCTAGTTCTTGACAGCGCCCCTTTTAGTATTTAACATTGCTTGATGTGACAGTGAATCCTTCCAATGCAAGATGGCGGTGTTCTACTCACCAAACATCTTCTGCATGGCATGAATGAAGCCTGTGCTCTCAAACTGTATCTCTCCCTCTTCAGACTCTCTGTAAACATCGTAAATACACACTAGAAGTCAAGAAACTATTGAATCCATGAAGAAACGGGGGGCACTACATGTATGAATTTTCAAATATTAGATGACACATGTAAGCTTGTAATCAATAATATAAACTACTTTTTAAGTTATCAAAAATCGTAAAATTAACCAGGAGGGCCCTGTTCCACTAGGCTACAGCTGTAACCAAGGAAAATGGCCCAGGAGTATGTTTCCTCCTCATCTTCACATTGTCCAAAAATATTATAAAACAGAAGATGAAGCTGCATAATAGTAGGTGAGCGAGTATGGGGAATCAAACCCTGGCCCTCGGTGTGACGAGAGACGGCCTTAACCACTAGACCACGCAACCGCCTCCCAAACAGTGTTGAAGCAGATTAGCAGGACAACCGTCTCACTTACTGCGGAAACTCGGCTCCTTCTACTCCTGATACATGTCCTACAAATGTCTTCATGGAGTCTGCGACTTTGGTCATGTCAAAGGCGTCAGGGTCGGACCTCCCTGAAGCCTTCTTTAGGATCTCATCCAGAGACTCGGGGGTCAGGTTCAACCAGCTGTCATCTGTGGGAGAGAAGAGCAATTGGATGATGATGACGTCGACGATGATAGATGTTTTAAGTGTTTTTGGTAGAGACGATTTTCCTCTCAGGAAAGTAGCCAGGGTAAGTATATTCTTGTATATCATTGTGTCAAATGTCCAATTAAATCACAAAATTTCCACTAACATAACTTCAGCCACACTGTTAAAACTATATGAGGCTGTGACACTGAACTTCTGGCACTTCAAAATACCAGGACACCCTCAGAATAACTTGTCCATATCCCAACTGTAAGTTTGTAAAATAGCACTGAAAAGTTGATTTGTGTGGCCTGTTTCTGGTCTAAAAACTTGGCAAATGGATAAAAAACATTTCAACAGCAATAGAATCAAGATCTAAAACATTGTTGCCATCCCTGGGACAGATTTCACCATCTGCATCTCTCACTATCCTCTGGACCAGGCAGGTGGACTCCTTACCGTCAGGCGAGGCCAGCGTCTGCTCCTGCCTCCGGAGACTGTCCAGGTCATAGGTGGTGCTGCCCACCAGGTCCAGCACTTCCTCCCCTGGGCTCGCCCTGAAGGAGCCACTGACAACACACAACATCACATGAGAGAAGGAAGGAGGAGCTTCTTGGGGGACAGTGTAATCATTGTGTGCTGCTATATGCCACGAGGGACACGCTTAACTTATCTCTGAATGTAAAACATTCAACTTGGTACATTTGTCAAATATAGATCTGGGATAGAACAGGTCTTCAGCAACCCATGCTTGCCGTAAAAGGCGACTATGCTTGTTAAAGAAGTGGCTAACTGATTGGGTGGTCATCATATCCCAATTACGTGGATCCATGCTTAAGATGTCAATCACTGGATTATCTGGTCAAGACTCGATTATTTACAGACCGCCGTCATATAGCTGAAATATTGCTGAGTCAGGTGTTAAACAACAAGCAAACAAACAAACAAAACAAAGGAAATATTAACAATTTTTTGCAGGTGATGAGCAAATGAATCACAGTTGTTTTCTACAGACCAAATTACACCTTTCAAAAATTATTAATTTCATATTTCTTCTGGACTATAAAATTCAAATGCCAGCCAATCCATCTCCAGGTACTCATCGACTCATAGGGAGATTTTACAAGTGCTTCACACTATTGTTAATACCAAATCAAGACATGCATACACTTTCTGTAAGGCTCTTTCACTTTCCCCAAATGCTGTAATTTCTATGATTTCCATGTCATGTTTCCTACACGTGTAACCCGTGCTGATCCATGAGTCGTACCTGTTGCTGATCTGCAGCTGATCCATGTAGAACTTACGAGCCTCCACCAGCAGCTCCGTGTACAGCTTGGACCCTGTCACTTCATCCTGGAGGAAGATAGATCAGTCACCGTACAGCTACATAACTTGGGGGAAGATAGATCAGTCAGCAAACAGCTACATAACTTAGGGGAAGATAGATCAGTCAGCATACAGCGACGTAACTTGGAGGAAGATAGATCAGTCAGAGTACAGCTACGTAACTTGGGGGAAGATAGATCAGTCACCGTACAGCTACATAACTTGGGGGAAGATAGATCAGTCAGCATACAGCTACGTAACTTAGGGGAAGATAGATCAGTCAGCATACAGCGACGTAACTTGGAGGAAGATAGATCAGTCAGAGTACAGCTACGTAACTTGAGGGAAGATAGATCAGTCAGCATACAGCGACGTAACTTGGGGGAAGATAGATCAGTCAGCATACAGCTACGTAACTTGGGGGAAGATAGATCAGTCAGAGTACAGGTACGTAACTTGGGGGAAGATAGATAAGTCAGCATAAGGCTACGTAACTTGGGGGAAGATAGATCAGTCAGCATAAGGCTACGTAACTTGGAGGAAGATAGATCAGTCAGCATAAGGCTACGTAACTTGGAGGAAGATAGATCAGTCAGCATACAGCTACGTAACTTGGGGGAAGATAGATCAGTCAGCATACAGCTACTTAACTTGAGGGAAGATAGATCAGTCAGCATACAGCTACGTAACTTGGGGGAAGATAGATCAGTCAGCATACAGCTACGTAACTTGGGGGAAGATAGATCAGTCAGCATACAGCTACGTAACTTGGGGGAAGATAGATCAGTCAGCATACAGCTACGTAACTTGGGGGAAGATAGATCAGTCAGCATAAGGCTACGTAACCTGGGGGAAGATAGATCAGTCAGCATACAGCTACGTAACTTGGGGGAAGATAGATCAGTCAGCATACAGCTATGTAACTTGGAGGAAGATAGATCAGTCAGAGTACAGCTACGTAACTTGAGGAAAGATAGATCAGTCAGCATACAGCTAAGTAACTTGGGGGAAGATAGATCAGTCACAGTACAGGTACGTAACTTGGGGGAAGATAGATAAGTCAGCATAAGGCTACGTAACTTGGAGGAAGATAGATCAGTCAGCATAAGGCTACGTAACTTGGAGGAAGATAGATCAGTCAGCATACAGCTACGTAACTTGGGGGAAGATAGATCAGTCAGCATAAGGCTACGTAACTTGGGGGAAGATAGATCAGTCAGCATACAGCTACGTAACCTGGGGGAAGATAGATCAGTCAGAGTACAGCTAGGTAACTTGAGGGAAGATAGATCAGTCAGCACACAGCTACGTAACTTGGGGGAAGATAGATCAGTCAGAGTACAGCTAGGTAACTTGGGGGAAGATAGATCAGTCAGCATACAGCTACGTAACTTGGGGGAAGATAGATCAGTCAGCATACAGCTATGTAACTTGGGGGAAGATAGATCAGTCAGCATACAGCTACGTAACCTGGGGGAAGATAGATCAGTCAGCATACAGCTACGTAACCTGGGGGAAGATAGATCAGTCAGCATACAGCTACGTAACCTGGGGGAAGATAGATCAGTCAGCATACAGCTACGTAACCTGGGGGAAGATAGATCAGTCAGCATACAGCTATGTAACTTGAGGGAAGATAGATCAGTCAGCATAAGGCTACGTAACTTGGGGGAAGATAGATCAGTCAGCATACAGCTACGTAACTGGGGGGAAGATAGATCAGTCAGCATACAGCTACGTAACTTGGGGGAAGATAGATCAGTCAGCATACTGCTACATAACTTGAAGAAACATACAGTCTTTATGTGAAGGAAAATGTGAAACAAGTCCTTATCTCGGGGTAAGTGTGAAACAAGTCATTATCTCGGGGTACGTGTGAAACAAGTCCTTATCTCAGGGTAAGTGTGAAACAAGTCCTTATCTCGGGGTAACTGTGAAACAAGTCCTTATCTCAGGGTAAGGATATAACAATGTCATCCCAAGTTCACAAGTAGAGGACACATAAACATGCCTTCAAGGATGAGCTGGTTGGATGTTTTGAGCCAAAGTCAAACATTCACCTACCCTGAAATATCCACTCATGTTGAGTGACTTGAGGTACCTCTGCCACCGTACATCCCGGTCAGATGAAACTGTGTGACCGTTGACGCCCATCCGCTGACCGCTGGAACACTTGGTACACAGGATCTCGAAGCCATGAGCCTGCAACAAACACAGGAGTTGTGGACTCACTACCAGATAAACTCAGATTATACCTGCATGAGTGACTCTTGTTCTACACCCCTTTGAACAGTATTTCAGTTATATCAAGGCATGTAAGCTTAATGTGTGAAGACGATGGTCTTAGATGTGTACCACCTGTTGAGGAAACCAATTAGCAAAGTATAGTGCTGACAAACCTAGAAACATCATCAGGGATTCAAACCCATGATCATAGGTTTCTGGCACACCTAAGGGAGGCAACTCTCCACATCGAATTGTTGTGTCTTCCATCCAACCAAGTGCAATATCTTAATCTGATTTTATTAAATGAAATTAATAAAAATTGAGATTATTTTTCAATCATCATTTTTCATGCAAAAAGCCTTGAAAGTTAGAGTGAGAGTTGACCAATGGATGTCATGGTAACTCAATCAATAAAGCCAGGGCAGTTTCAATATCTGACCGGCTCTCATGATCATCATGCAAGTCAATGCTGACCACACCTGCCATATTATGCAACTGATAATCATAATAATCATGATAAACATCTGAATTGACAAACTGAACTTATCTCTAGCTAATAATAACTACATAGAGAGACTGACCAGTTTCATGCCCAGGTCATGTGACTGGAACTTGGGATTAGACGACGCGGGCAGTGTGTAGCCGCTCCTCTTGTCCGGGGTGAACTGTTGGTGCATCAGCTGGGCATACAGGCAGCGAGTCAGCTTCACCTGCACACACAACACATGGTGTCACACATCTGTTACTAGTGGGCTGGACCCGTGAAGATCCAGGGTAGAATAGGTCTTCAGCAACCCATGCTTGACGGAAAAAGCGAATATTCTTGTCATAAGTGGTGACTAACGTGATCGAGTGGTCAGGCTAGCTTATGGTATCCCAATTGCATGGAATGATGCCAATGATGCCAATCACTGGATTGTCTGGTCCAGACTCGATTATTTACAGACCTCCAGCATATAGCTGGAATATTGTGTGTGCAGTGTTAAAAAGCAAACAAACAAACAAAACAAATCAGTGGGCTGCACATGTAATATCAGAGTTATCCCCCTTACAATACATTATGTTAACTATGACTTCTTTGTTAACTATGGTTGTTTAATTAGGCCTAGAGTGCAGTGTTTATTTGTTGTTTAACGCTGCACTCAGCAGTAGTCCAGCTATATGACAGCGGCCTGTAAATAATCAAGTCTGTGCATATGGCTACCACACATACTCACACCTAAAGTGTAACCCAGAAAATGAAAAAAAACGATAACACTATTGTGATTCTGGAAGTTACAATTATTGACAGTTACAAATACGAAGGGAGATAACTCTGACATTAAATGCTTGAGGAGAGGGACATTTATTGGATAACTGGCAGTGAGATAGCCTAATATATCAAAGAGACAAATCCCTGGGTCACAATAAATATATCAATTCTAACCATGACACTTGTTGAGAATAAAAGCATATTTGATAAAAGTCAATAAATATCCTCAATGTTCTGAAACAAACATTTGTTTGTTTGTTGTTTAACACCACACTCAGCAATATTCCAGCAATAACTTTCCAGTCTGTAAATAATCGAGTCTGGACAATCCAGTGATTGATATCATTAGCATCGATCCACGCAATTGGGTTACCATGACATGGATCAAACAAGTCAGCAAGCCTGACAACCTGATTCTGTTACTCGCCTCTTACGACAAGCATGGGTTGTTGGGATCTTCATATGTATTTTTGCCACAGTAAGCTATATTCCAACTAAATCTGTTTGTTGTGTAAATAATCAGGGCAAGGCAAACAAACATAGTCGCCTTTTATGGCAAGCATTGGTTGCTGAAGACCTTTTCTAACCCAGATCTTTACAGGTTTCTGAAACAAACAAAGGTGTGCAACATGGTGGTTTGACTGACAAGTGGAAGCGTTCAAACTTAGTTCAAAAGTATATGAAAGGAAAAACCTGTGGCGCTGTTTCATGTAAATAAGATCTGTAATATGCAAGGAAATATGGCCTGCCATGTAAAGTTTCAGTCTTATACAGTTATAGAAATTACTTACAGATTGAGTAGGAGCAGGTGACTTTATACAGCTAATAAGGTACATTGAAACACGGAATGTGATCACATGTAACCACCATTTTTCACAGAAGACATTGAACATAAAGGGAGATAACTCAGACTGGATTATTTTGGGTTAGCATGAAGCTGGACACATAAATGAAGAAACAAAATGGATTGCTGTCGATCAATGATCAAAACTGTGGAAGATCGTCAGTTGAAGGGAAACTCAGGATTATTAACATGTGTCTGTTGTTTGTCAGCAATGATTCAATGTGATCATGATGACAAACTGTATGTAGTTTGTAGGGTTTGGACAGGTAACTCGGGTACCTGGGTCGGATGGGTCCTTAGTAGGACCGGGGTACCCACAGGACTAACTGGATCCGTGGTTAGTCACAGGATATATTGTTTAAATACAATAACAATAAAAGTCGCTCATGTTCCATTTGTTTCTGAATATGCACGCACTATTTCTGACTTTTATACGGTTGACTACTTGTAAACATATGACTTCAGTGTATGCATGATCTTATCATTTTATACGTGTATGGAAATAACATTTGCCAGGGCACCGGTAAAACAATTCCCAGTCGGACATTATGTACCTAACACTTGAGATCAGACAGGGTAACAACAAGACCCCGGTAGGGTCATGTCATAGGAGGTCGAGTTCCTGGGTCGTAAATTTGGACTCGTCCCAGCCCCTGTAGGTTGAGAGTTTGTGGTTACCATGGTTACAGCATACACAAACACAGCTGATGGAGATCAGGCATTAAACAGTTGACTTTCCTTACCCTTGCTAGAACTTGGTCAGTTGGTGAGAAGATCTGCATAGTTCTACAAGCCTGTAATTGAAGAGTTTCACAACATTACAGTGAATTTCTATATGAGCTTGACTATTTTACACTCTGTCAAAACAACTGTCACAAAAATATAATGATGACGGCAGCTGTCTTGCAAAAGTCTTCATTAAATGAATGAATGAATGCAAGAAGATTTACAAACAAATGTGCGATAATTTTTATGTGGCAGTAGAGTTCATTGTAAGTTTAGTCACTGGCAATGGCAGCATGTAAATGAAGCATTGGTAAAATGTGGAGTGTTGCTGGTGGCAGCAAAAGTGGAAATTAGAGTTATCCACCCCTGGTTGTTGACAAACATGGCAGACTTGATCGTTCGAGTTGTTTTGAGATGGGACAGTTTCTAGAAGACTGGCTGTACCAATATAAGAGAGATAGGGTGATTCAAGCCCTTTGCTTACCTGAGCTATGTCTGACTAATGACCAGTAACTGTCTTCCAGTGCCATCTTTAAGGTATTTCAACTGAGCCCTATCATATAACAACTACCTGTAGGTCTAGAGGGTCGCGGTAGTAGAAGGCGTGCACGGCGGGTGCGACCAGGGCAGGGTTCCGCCGTAAGACCGGCACCAGTTTTGCTGGGATGTAGCAGTTGGTGTGATGGACATTTTCTTTAATTTTTTCAGGGAAGCTGAAATAAAATGTTATCCAATGCACAGCCAGAAAACATAATCATATTTGTACATGAACATGATACATATCTCCACTGTTCACGCCGTGCGATCTACACACTGGTTGTACACACTGACATGTTTGGGAATTCACAACATCATCTACAGATCGTCATCTCCATGGTATGATAGAGTGAGAGAGAGTGATTTTTGGGTGAATGCAGCTTTGAACACTATTCCAGTTATATCATGACGTGTAAGCTTGACCTGGGAGGAAAGCTCAAAGTGATTCAGGCGTCAGACGTATACCACTTTGGTGAAACCCACGAGCACGGGCGTAGTGCTCACAAACTTTGAAACGTAATCGCTGCAAACCGGGAGTCGAATCCACAATGATAGGTTTATCTTGTTAACTTACTCACATGGTACAAAAGAAGGTATGAACAAGAAGCGATGGGAGATGAAATTCTCTTGAGTGTTTACTTCTGTATGTTGCATATATGTAAGGGTCCTCACACATCTATAATGTTCCTGGCTGTACAAGGTGGGATGAAATGGGGCTTAACGTCGCGTCCAAGATTATTGCACTTATACAGCAACGTGCATGCACGTGTGTGTGTGTGTGTGTGGCTACTTGTACTAGTACGGATTGATGCCGATTTATAGTGCTAGCCCACTGAGATACCATGCTGCAGTTTGACATGAATACTTCACTCAGACACACTATACTGACTCCGAGCCAACCAGTCCTTGTTTTAGCCCCTTAATGCCGAGCGCCAGGAAGGGTAGCAACAAGTACCATCTTTTAACGTCTTTAGGTATGATGCGGCGAGGGATCAAACCCTGGACCTTCTGCTCTCCAAGTAGATGCTCTACCACTAGACCACGGAGGCAGTCGTCACAGGTACAAAATACATTGTGTATGGCTAACAACTGACTGTAACATGAATCTATATAATGAGTGAGTGAGTTGGTTTTAATGCTGCTTTTAACAGTATTCCAGTTATATCGTGGCATGTCAGCTTAATGTGGGAGGAAAGCCCGAAGTGATGCAGGTCTCAGACGTTTACCACTTCGGTCAAACCCACAAGCACGAGTATGGTGATGACAATCCTAGAAACATAATTGGGGCGAACCGGGATTCGAACCCACAATCATAGGTTTCTGGCGTGCCCAGGGGACGCAACTCTGCACAGCGAATCCTGGCGCCTTAGATGACTAGGCCACCTCTATATCATCACTTCAGATAGATGTTTACAAGAGATAGTGATGAGGAAGTCATACAGACCAGCTGAGCCGGGAGAAGATGTATCGCTGTATCTGTGGTGATGCCCGGGTGAGGCTGGTGTGTTCACGTATACAATTGACACCATCGGGGATGTCTGGAGCAAACAACGGGAGCTCCATCATCTCTGCTGGGGTTTGTGGGATAGGTATAATGTGTATATCTCCCTGATAGATGTACACCTGGAAACAAGATTGAAAAAATAAATCATGAGGTTTTATATCCTGCAGTGATCTTATTGTACAATACACAATTCCCACAGGACATTTATTACTTATATGGGCCATGCCGGACATGTCCATTTTATGAACAGGGGGGTTCAGTTTGGTATTTCCTGAATCATCTCACAATAATCATGGTCATTATCTGTATCTTTTGTACCATAACAGATTGAATGTCGCCTACTTTTGCAATAAGCATTTATCTGTGTTGCCCAGCTACATCTAAGGGGAACAACTCATCAACCTCTAAAACATAATGTCATCTTATTTATGATATCATCATAGCTAGTGTATGTTCGAATTTCCAGAAATGAAGTCATGACAGAACACTGTTTTATTGTGAAATAAACCACGCCTCATTCTTCATTGTTTTCAGCGATTTATCACATAGCTATCTTATGTAACAGCAAACTTCACACAAGGTATAATGTGTATATCTCCCTGGCAGAGCTACATCTGGAACACATCACAGTGAATGCTGTTATAAAGCAGTGTAATTTACTGTTAAACAATGATTGTAACTGTATTACATTGAGATTCAGTAGAAGTTCATTGCATTGTATTTGGACAATGACTGTTGTCAGGAATGTAGTACTTCTTAATGTCAGCAGTGGTGAAGAAGTTTATACCATGGAATATTCTGTGATGTTCCAGTGACAATGAACTGGTCAAGCACTGTGTGGAAAGTGCCGGAAGCTAGTTAGACTATATAAGTGGAGCAGCCGCGTGCCTGTCATCTCACATTTCATTTGACATTACATCTTTCATGTCAAGATCACTTATCACCCAGGATTTCCAGCCTAGGCCTATCTCTGAAGCTTGACCACTGTTGCGGATAGGTGAATATTATTAATACTGAACTTTTTGATATCACCACTGCTATCATATTCTGTATTTGATACTGCCAATGAATTTTGTACTACCACTCAATTGCATCCTGCCCTTGTAATTGCTGTGCAGTAATTTGTATTGATCTGTAAACCTAGTTAATTTTGTAGTACAATTGTTGATAGTATACCATTTGTTTGTTTGTTGGTTTACACTAAGTTCATCTACATACAGATTTCTGGTTTTACATATTGTTTCAATCTGGGAATGAACACATAACAATGCAGTGAATGAATTTAATTTTCAGTATGCACTAGAAGTTTGACCTCAACAGGACTCCTGTGTGTAAAATACTATAATCTACAGTAACACTTTTCATTAATCAATGAAGACTATACAAATCCTACCGTGCACTGACACAGTACCCTTCATACTCAGTACAACTGATATAGGATACATTTCCTATGTCCAAATCAAGAACTTTTGTTGACAAATCTGTTCATCTGTTAACCATGTTAAATATATGTTCTTTCTTTTCAAATGCTGTACCAACTCGTCGCACACCTACCCTGTTGTCGGACGTCTCTGGTGTCAGCCATTTAGGCAGTGCTTCAGCAGCCTCTATTAGCAGGAACTCTCCGTCATTGTCTGATGTTCTGCAATACATTACCAGAACTAATCACATCACTGATAGTTTTCAATTAAATTACCATGATTAACTAATCAATCACTGAATCCATGGACATAATGATCCTCAAATAGCCCTTAGAAATACACACTGTCAGGTGGTCATCAGGTCCGGGTTTCAAGTAATTCAGCATTGTCCTCACATAGTGAAGCTTCATCTGACCTTGCACACAACACAGGGTGCATTCGACCACTACACACAACACAGGGTGCATTCGACCACTACACACAACACAGGGTGCATTCGACCACTACACACAACACAGGGTGCACTTGACCCTTGCACACAACACAGGGTGCATTCGACCACTACACACAACACAGGGTGCACTTGACCCTTGCACACAACACAGGGTGCATTCGACCACTACACACAACACAGGGTGCATTCGACCACTACACACAACACAGGGTGCACTTGACCCTTGCACACAACACAGGGTGCATTCGACCACTACACACAACACAGGGTGCACTTGACCCTTGCACACAACACAGGGTGCATTCGACCACTACACACAACACAGGGTGCACTTGACCCTTGCACACAACACAGGGTGCATTCGACCACTACACACAACACAGGGTGCATTCGACCACTACACACAACACAGGGTGCACTTGACCCTTGCACACAACACAGGGTGCATTCGACCTCTACACACAACACAGGGTGCACTTGACCCTTGCACCCAACACAGGGTGCATTCGACCACTATACACAACACAGGGTCCACTTGACCCTTGCACACAACACAGGGTGCATTCGACCACTGCACACAACACAGGGTGCATTCGACCACTACACACAACACAGGGTGCATTCGACCACTGCACACAAGACAGGGTGCATTCGACCACTACACACAACACAGGGTGCATTCGACCACTACACACAACACAGGGTGCACTTGACCCTTGCTCACAACACAGGGTGCATTCGACCACTACACACAACACAGGGTGCATTCGACCACTACACACAACACAGGGTGCACTTGACCCTTGCACACAACACAGGGTGCATTCGACCACTACACACAACACAGGGTGCATTCGACCACTACACACAACACAGGGTGCACTTGACCCTTGCACACAACACAGGGTGCATTCGACCACTACACACACAACACAGGGTGCACTTGACCCTTGCACACAACACAGGGTGCATTCGACCACTATACACAACACAGGGTGCACTTGACCCTTGCACACAACACAGGGTGCATTCGACCACCACACACAACACAGGGTGCACTTGACCCTTGCACACAACAAAGGGTGCATTCGACCACTACACACAACACAGGGTGCACTTGACCCTTGCACACAACACAGGGTGCATTCGACCACTACACACAACACAGGGTGCATTCGACCACTGCACACAACACAGGGTGCATTCGACCACTACATACAACACAGGGTGCATTCGACCACTACACACAACACAGGGTGCACTTGACCCTTGCACACAAGACAGGGTGCACTTGACCCTTGCACACAAGACAGGGTGCATTCGACCACTACACACAACACAGGGTGCATTCGACCACTACACACAACACAGGGTGCACTTGACCCTTGCTCACAACACAGGGTGCACTTGACCCTTGCTCACAACACAGGGTGCACTTGACCCTTGCTCACAACACAGGGTGCACTTGACCCTTGCTCACAACACAGGGTGCACTTGACCCTTGCTCACAACACAGGGTGCACTTGACCCTTGCACACAACACAGGGTGCACTTGACCCTTGCACACAACACAGGGTGCATTCGACCACTACACACAACACAGGGTGCACTTGACCCTTGCACACAACACAGGGTGCACTTGACCCTTGCACACAACACAGGGTGCATTCGACCACTACACACAACACAGGGTGCATTCGACCACTACACACAACACAGGGTGCATTCGACCACTGCACACAACACAGGGTGCATTCGACCACTACACACAACACAGGGTGCATTCGACCACTGCACACAACACAGGGTGCATTCGACCACTACACACAACACAGGGTGCACTTGACCCTTGCACACAACACAGGGTGCATGTGACCACTACACACAACACAGGGTGCATTCGACCACTGCACACAACACAGGGTGCATTCGACCACTACACACAACACAGGGTGCATTCGACCACTACACACAACACAGGGTGCACTTGACCCTTGCACACAACACAGGGTGCATTCGACCACTACACACAACACAGGGTGCACTTGACCCTTGCACACAAGACAGGGTGCACTTGACCCTTGCACACAAGACAGGGTGCATTCGACCACTACACACAACACAGGGTGCACTTGACCCTTGCACACAAAACAGGGTGCATTCGACCACTACACACAACACAGGGTGCATTCGACCACTGCACACAACACAGGGTGCATTCGACCACTACATACAACACAGGGTGCATTCGACCACTACACACAACACAGGGTGCACTTGACCCTTGCACACAAGACAGGGTGCACTTGACCCTTGCACACAACACAGGGTGCATTCGACCACTACACACAACACAGGGTGCACTTGACCCTTGCACACAACACAGGGTGCATTCGACCACTACACACAACACAGGGTGCATTCGACCACTACATACAACACAGGGTGCATTCGACCACTACACACAACACAGGGTGCACTTGACCCTTGCTCACAACACAGGGTGCATTCGACCACTACACACAACACAGGGTGCACTTGACCCTTGCACAAAGACAGGGTGCACTTGACCCTTGCACACAACACAGGGTGCATTCGACCACTACACACAACACAGGGTGCACTTGACCCTTGCTCACAACACAGGGTGCACTTGACCCTTGCACACAACACAGGGTGCATTCGACCACTACACACAACACAGGGTGCATTCGACCACTACACACAACACAGGGTGCACTTGACCCTTGCTCACAACACAGGGTGCACTTGACCCTTGCTCACAACACAGGGTGCACTTGACCCTTGCTCACAACACAGGGTGCACTTGACCCTTGCTCACAACACAGGGTGCACTTGACCCTTGCTCACAACACAGGGTGCACTTGACCCTTGCTCACAACACAGGGTGCACTTGACCCTTGCACACAACACAGGGTGCACTTGACCCTTGCACACAACACAGGGTGCACTTGACCCTTGCACACAACACAGGGTGCACTTGACCCTTGCACACAACACAGGGTGCACTTGACCCTTGCACACAACACAGGGTGCACTTGACCCTTGCACACAACACAGGGTGCACTTGACCCTTGCACACCACACTTGACCTGACCATATATTTTTTATCTGAATTCTAAAACATTATTATTTCAATGTGGTCATAGTTAACATGTTGAATGGAGGCATTTGTATAAGATTTTTAAGATGGATGCTCTTTTCTTGGTTGCTGTCCATGCTGTCTGTTTGTTTGTTTGTTTGATACTTAATGCAACAATATTCAAGCTGCCTGAAGTTGTCTTGTAAATAACCAAATCTGGTCCAGACAATCAAGTGATTGATATCATGAGCAAAGATCCATGCTGTTGGGGTACAGCAAGACGCAATCAACCAAGTCACTGAGCCTGACCACCCAATCCATTAGGTCACCTTTCTCGACCAGCATTGTTTGCTGGGGACCTATTCCAACCCGGTGGGATATTTCACCAAAGCAGGTGAGGCAACAGACATGTTTTATGCACATATTAACAGCGTTCTGCTCCAAGTTGAATCTCCCCATGACACTACAGATGACCTTCAGGAACAACTCAAGGTCTTGATTATGGAAGAGTGGGTGAGTATGGTTTTACGCCGCTTTTAGCAATATTCCAGCACTATCACGGCGGGAAACACCAGAAATGGGCTTCACACATTGTACCCATGTGGGGAATCGAACCCAGGTCCTCGGCTTGACGAGCGAAAGGCTTCACCATTAGGCTACCCGACCTCCCCCTGATATGGATGAAGAGACATGGATGTCATTGAGGGTTCATCTCTAACCCCATCAGAAGCAGGAATGGAAATTAGCACTTGCCCCGACCAGTCTCCACTTAGTTGTCTTGTTAAGGTTAAAAATATCCTAAGGAATAGTAGAATTTCAAACATTTTCGGGTATTGCTATATGTTATCACTATTTGAGCTTGTAGACATTCTTGGTTACCTTCCATCCCTACAGAAGAATGGGTCATTTGAAAAAAAGCTCCATTACCTCTACCTGATGATCTGATCTCACAAAATCCCTCTGAGGAATAATAACCCTCTGGGTATAAACTGCTCACAAAAACTTGAAAGAGGTCCCATAAATACAAAATCAGATTTACGTCCTATACTCTTGTGACGAAGACCATGACCTATTAAAAAGACATATTCCCTGTAGCTGGATATAATTTGCTGCAAATCCCATTCACTTCATGACTTAAACATTCCCAGCACCTGTAAACCAACCTATAGACAACGGTTAGACTGCACCTCCCTTATAAGCAAGTCCATCATTTCCTCGTTACAACACTTGCAGTGACAGGACCCACAGCAAGGCATTGTCAGGCAGCAGAGATATGGGATATTTAGGATGCCCCTTGTTAAATAATAGCCAGGAATGTGGTTTTTATGAATGGACTGTCTGGTTGAAGCAGCGAGGGAGTGATTTATCAACTTCTTGAGGCTCTGAGGTCAGACTGACTTGAGACCAGGCACAGGGCACATGACTCCTTCCAAGATCTTCCTATATTGATTTGGGTATTTTCTTCCTTTTTGCCAAAATACTTTTATCAGACCAAATAGTTTCTAATTTTGATAATGAATTTATTTCAAACATAAAACTGGCTTTCATTGCAAATGTGCACTTAATGCCTCTCACAGGATATTAAAAGTTTTTTTAAACCTCTTATCAACAACCATATCTATTTATCTACTTTAGCTAGCTTCAGTAAATTTCATTTTGACTGT